ATTTAGGATAAAACTGCTGTTTCAGTCACGCAAATGTTACTAGTGTAGCATGCGTAAGTGAAGGGTCCCTACGGGTTTGGAGTGTGTATCTAAGGGCATAGTAACTGGCTGACCGCGTCTGTCAAAGAAAGTATATGAGACGAGTGTAAGGCTAATATGCTAAGGGACTGTGCAATAATTACCAGGGTGGTAAGTTATAAAACAACCACAAGCGACTGAGTCGAGTCAACGCAAAATTCACTACAAAGACGAACCCAGATGCAAAAGGTGGCTTACTTATCTGGACCTAAGTGTAAAGACAAAAACTTTCAGGAGGAGCTGACGGGGTTTGTTCTGCTAAATAACTGTTCTTGTATGAATTTGTTCCTGGGAAAGGTTTTCAAGGTCCAAAAAAGGTTTATGTAACTTATGAACGACGCTCTCTCCCCGATTTTTTTTTTTTGGAGGGGTGAGAAACGGATGTACACAGGCTACAATTTATGTGATAAAATTGAAAAAATCAGTAGTTGAAAAAGAAATTCATAACTTGGTCAATTACGAGTCTTTGAATTTAAATTTACATTAGTACGCCTTTCGTTTCATAATGGATTTTTCATAAAAAAGCTTTAGCTAGCAGATTAAAAATGATCAGTGTTGTTGATAAACCTTCTTAAAACTGAAAATGTAATATCAATATCATATTAATTTTCAATAAAAATGTTTTTGTCATTTTCTACAATTATGGTTGTTATTTACGTTGAATTTAAGATAATGTAATATAGAGATAGAGTTGTAAAGGGGCTCGAACAGCCATCAGTGATTTCAACGTAAATTATACTAGTTGTCATAGCAACGTCAAGTTTCCAGTAAGAACTTAATTACTATTTCAATGGTTCGTTATCCTTTGACATTCTGCAACACCTCTGTCCAACACGCGTAATTGAATACAATTTGTACAGGATGAGAAATCTTACTCTGTAGTTCAGCTTAGCCTCCTTCGCAGGCAACTCTACTCCGTGGGATTCCTGTGTTAAGGCAAAAAAGCTGCCTAATCTCTCGACACCAGTTCTTCTCGGTCAAGAATATGAACTTTGAGTCAGAATTTATCTATCTTTTACTGAATAAGACTTATATTCTTATTACTCAGTTTGGTTTAAAATCACTAATACTTAAGTCTTCGACGCTTAATAAGTTAATCCGGTTAACAAATAGTTTCTTTTGAACAAGAAGTTCATAAGTCAATAAGCTATGTCATGGTCTGATAATGAATATTCACCATTATCATGACGACATCTAGAATAACCAGTTTAGCAAGTTTGGTCATATAAATAGAGCTACCTCTAACTCGAAAAGCCATTTTTTCCATTCCATTCCGATTCCATTATTCCATTAAGAGAACACATTATACTCAGAAGGATGTAGTTATAAACTATTCTGTTCTACAATCTATACACAATGTGAAACACACTTGTAACTTATCTTAGTCTTACACTGAGTTAACGACGAAATAAAGATCCCTGGTACGTTCTACCTTTGGTCTATCTAGTTAGTAAGCCAAGCCCCATTACAGAGTTATTGGTAGGGTCATGGGTATTTAAAGAGGTAGAAGACCCACGAGGAAAGGAAACAAGTAAAAAAAAAAAAACAGGAAAAAAGTGTAGCATTCGTAAGTGAAGGTTCCCTAGGGATTTGGAGTSTGTATTTAAGGGTGTCTAACCACCATTCCCTTTTCGGTACACCCAAGTACAGTATTTTAGAGTGTCATGGTATATTTTACAGTCAAAAGACATGAAGCGCGCCCCACGAACAGTTCGTTATTCAATGCATTATGCATTAATGCATTAATGCATTAATAAAGTGTTTTTTATTTTATTATCATTAATATAGCAATTAACGTTTTAAAAGAGTCCTTGCTTTCAAGTGCATTATTGGATTTTTCATTTTATTTTTCGCTTTCAAACTTTAGTTGATTAATGCAAAATTAAATTCAAATCTCGAACTCTGATAATGACAGAAAACAACACAGCATTTCCAGCTTTGAGACAGTCATTCCTTTCTCATGAGAAGGGAAACAGATCCAACCAAATTAACAGACAGCATATTGCAATGCATCGACTTGTGGAAATTACAAAAGACCAGCATGTTTACAAGCGAAATACGAAGAACCTTTATGAAAGTCCGATCAATAATCCAATCAAATTCCGAAGTTTTAATTCAAATTTGATTTCGATAATATAATTTTGAATCGACCAAGTATCGAATAATGAATTGAATTATGGTGTTTTGAGGCGCGCTTCATGTCTTTTGACTGTAAAATGATTTTTTTTATGGTTGCCATCGCGTAACGTTCATCAGGCCAAAATTCACATCATTTCAAATTTAATCATATTTCTAATTCATCGTAAGGTTATAAATAACTCTAAATAWAAACGAGAGGTATGGTCGAAAAACAACTGCAGGGCTCGAATAGTCTGCTATTGTCTTTTGGGTGTTTTGTTCTTGACATCTAATTATTGAATATATGTTCCCCAACAGTTGTATAGTAAAGAGCGAATATCAAACCTTCAAGAACGTTGCAAAACCAAACCAARACAACTATGGTCTAATATGTCACTTCGACAGAAAGAAAATATCGCAAAACGAATCATAGTGGACGATAATCAACAACTGCTCTACTGTCATATTCCCAAAGTAGCAAGCTCTAACTGGAAAAGAGTGATAATGGTACTGAATGGACGCGCAGWCAGTTCAAAGTCAATTAAGAAAGTTAATCATCAAGACTTCACATTCTTGTCCGACTTTTCACCGCAAGAAATGGACCTTCGACTCAAAACGTACTACAAATTYTTGTTTACAAGAGAGCCACTCGAGCGTCTTGTCAGCGCTTACAAGGATAAATTTTTAACTGGCAATAAWTTTTTTATTGSCAAGTGGGGCTCACGAATAATAAAGAAGTATCGCAAGAATGCTGAAAACAGCAATAACATCCCAACTGTAGATGAGTTCTTTCACCATTTGTTAAAAGACACTAAACTTGATGCGCATTGGACGCCTTACGTGGATCTTTGCGAACCATGTGTCATTTCATACGACTTTATTGGTTCTTTTGATTGCCTTGTTCGAGATGCTCAAATACTGTTAAAGAAATTGCATTTACAAAATTTAGTGCAGTTTCCTAAAAAACAACCCTACTACAAGAAGAGAACAATTAACACTTCTCTCGATTATTTCCTTTCGCAAGTTCCTCGACAACTGACTAAACAAGTAGTTGAAAAATATGCTCAAGACTATGAACTCTTTTCATATCCACTACCAACGTTGTAATAGAGTTCACGCTATAGAGTAATTCTCACGTAAATTGGTAGTGAGTATTTTTACTGCGTTATAGAGTATTAAGTCAAAAAACCCGTGAAATAAATATTGCACAAATACACTTTAGTACGCTCTAAGTGCATTTTYTCCTCTTGTGTCTATTCGTCTATCACACTTCAATAGTCAAATTTTGTTTCACTGGTTTAATGACTTCACTCTATGAAGACAATGGTAGAGAATGTATACYCAATGYTTTACAGCCCTTTCAATATGACGTCATTAACTTCGAAAAGGTCTACACAAGAAAGTCGAAAAAGTCAGATTTGTAGATATTGATAAACGTATGATCACATCAAGACTGTGTCAATAGGAGAATAGGGTAAACTCCGTTATWTCGTGAAATATAGTCATAGTAAATGGTTTTATTAGTATTTATTGACTAATAGTGTTCTGAACCAGTTCCGGTTCATTGATACACACYATTATTAAATACAGACTAATAACTAATAATTTATTAAACGTGTMAGAGGACTTTTTACCACACTTGTGTGAATTCTCGTGCACTGATTGGCTGACTGCAAGAGGCAGTTCACACAATGTTCATACAGATGAGAAAAATATTTTTTTGCAATCATTTTAAGTGACTTACAAGAAGTTACATAATGCTAAATAATTTTAATAGTTCTCAGTATTATTTCTTTAAGAAGGCATAAATTGTGCTGCCGTGAAGATTTACTACATCGTTGCTTATCTCTGAAACAAACGATAATTGACGAGGTCAGTATTTCTTGTTATTACCATGCCATATCCATCTCGGCACCATCATATGTTCACAAGTTCATAACTCACGTTGGTGCAATGTACGACCGCAATACATTATTACGACTGTAAGTCTTTTGTAATGATTAATTAGTTAATTAATTAATAGCTTATATTTAATACTTGATTAATCAAACTTGCATATACACAAAATGAAACGTTGTGTTATTTTTATAAAGATCACTTCACATCATTGCAAGTGTAACTAATCGATCAATTCCATTGTCAGTCATACCTTTATCACAATTCATACTTCCACAAAGAATCAACTTTCTGTCCCGAAGACCAAACACTGATTTGACCTGTCATGTTATAATTCAATCCATTAGTATAACCTGATACAAAAACCCCACAAATGCAAATCTATCCAACCGACATGTCCCTGTATGTCCTTTCTGTTCAACAAACCACTTAATAGAGAATCTTTTGAAATACTTAACCATGGTTCGTTACCTGGTCACGCAACTGACAGTAATCCAAGAGGAACTCTCCTTTGGGGTTTTCTAGCAAAATTGTTGCCCTGCTGCCGTTTGCACCACAAGCAGGCTTTGCACCAACAAGTTGGACGTTAACAAATCTACACACAGGTTTGGACAACGGTGCCTTTTCTGAGATTCCATGGTCAACGCCATTCACCTAATATACAGAAATAATCAATACTCAATTACATGAAGTGGGTTGTCACTTGAAAAACAAACAGTTAATAGAATAGTCACTAACTCACCTCACCATTTRATCAATCACTTTGATTACGTAACTTTGGACGGACAACAATAATACATTCACAAAGTAAGATAAWWAAAAAAAAACAATCGATAGAAATGGYCGCGTTAACCAATGAAAAATAGATATGTCGYCTTTCTKTCACTCCCCCCTTTTTTGTGATCCTCCTTTTTTGTTAGGGGGRCACACTTTATTTAATTTGGTAATGAYGTCACCGGTWTCGGATTGGCTGCAACGCTTAAAACATACAATAGTWTTTTTACTGATTCTTTCATATATATTTCAGCGGTTCTAACGTAATGGATGAGGTGATATCATTATAAACTTACCATGTTTTGTTTTGAGGAAAAAACTGCATACGGCTTGCCTGGAGCACAGTCTTCCTGCACTTTGGTATCACCTTCACGAGATGACATGATTTCAATCTGGTCCAGCTATAATGGTACGAAAGATAACCTCAATATAAGATTACCCGGTTGACTATTTACGGAATAGTCTCCTTCACGGTCACCTTCGCCATCTTGAAAGGTAGCCGTGCCTTTGCATCGAAGCGAGACAACCGTTGAGCGTGCAATGATAGAAACCTGGAATAATTGTCTGTAGGTGTGAAAGAAGGTTTCTATCATTGCACGCTCAACGGTTGTCTCGCTTCGATGCAAAGGCACGGCTACCTTTCAAGATGGCGCAGGTAACCGTGAAGGGGACTATTGACGAGCGAAGACAGCTGACAAAAACAACATAGAAACACAAAAAAGATGCACACAAAATAATACGTACAAGAATAAAATACCCAACAAAACAAAGACTGAACTGATATGTTATCCACGGTGGAAAAATTCTAGCCTTTATGTTAAAGGACTTGTCACCGATACGGACACTATCTTGAAGGACGATAAAAGTACGGGGCAAAACTGTACAAATCCTTTTACTGAAATGTAAAAAAA